GCTAATTACTGATGCTGTCGCCGATTCTTGATCCTTTGCAGATTACTATCATTATGAGAAAAGGTGACAAGGGAAGAAAATTTAGTAGAAGAAATGTTACCATTAGGCAAAGTAATCTCACCTGCCTGAGTGGAAAATTGCCACCTGTACCACACATGGGCTCGATACACAGAGCGGAGCGAACGACGGGTCATTGTGCGACCCCCTGCCTAGCCTAGACATTCATATCGCATCACTAACACTGCATTGCGCGCAGCGACCCTAACTAACCGCGTTTAGGAGCCCCATGTGTGTTTTTCATCAGATCGTCAGAACAGAAATTCTAGCTGGCTTGCGGTGTGCAGTAGTTTGTAGATGCTGGAAAAGCAACTGTCAGGAGGCAAGTGTTAGATTAAGTATGGGTGGAACCTCGAGATGAGATTGCCCACGTTTATAGAACTTTAAACCTAAAAGCTTAAAAAAGTAACCTATCCTAACTGTAATTCTAACATACTTCTTTCAACCCAAAATGAATGACAACAAAGAAAAAGGATGAGGAGAATAAAGAAAAATATAGATTTCATTTTTCTGAGCTATCCAAACTATGAAGTATATCTAGCTGAATTACCTATTATAAACAAGAAGAAACTCATGTGAAAAGTAAAAAAGACAAAGAACAAACACTCACAAGTAACTAATCTATAATTCTACTCAATATCCTCTTGCACACCATGAACACCTGCCTGTACACAAGAAATATTTAAATCATAAAGGCTTCCATAAAAAGAACTCTGCTAGGTTGAGCTAACCTGGCACAAAGATTAAGAAGTTTCTACTCTATTGAGGACCTATGCTATGAAGAGCCTTAATAAACAAAAGATAACAAAAATAATTTCTAACCTTGCAGTTCCAAAATGATTCTCTCTACTAGAAGTGTTAATGCCTGTAATAACCCTATGCCACTTCCCTAGACCACAGCCACTCCAACCCATAACCAAGTCTCCCAGCTATCCTATCCTCAACTCTTCAGCAAGGTATATATCCCTCTTGAGTAGGAAGATGATGTTATGTGGTGCTCACCATTCTTCTTCTTTATGGTTGATAAAGAATTCATTAAGTTGTTGTCTTTTGAACTCAAGCTTGTAGTCTGAATACTTCCTCAGTGCCTCCTCCTCCGAGATAGAGTCGTCGCACTGCTCCATGAAGGCTTTGAAAGTCATCATTGGTGGCTGCGTAGGGCCCAGCTCATCTAACCTGGAATGTGGGGGAAGAGGAAATCGCAATGCTTAATATTCTTTATGCAAATGAAAAAATACTTGTAATTCTGGAAAGCTTGTGCATCATGGAGTTACATAGAGAAGCAAATCTCACTTAACATACAATCATTTTGAATTCTAATTAAAACCTGTTAGTGGAATCATTACATATAGATAATTACAAGGACTTAAATCCTTTAGGAAATAAAAGTAAAATGTCTTTTCCTCCAATTATGCATTATATTATACAATGATTAGCAATCACTGCAATAAATGTATTGCTGTTGACAATACACTAAATATCCAATCTACCAACAATAACACTTGCTAAGGCATGACTATACTAGAAGTGGGTGCAAAGCATGCAGCACAAAAAAGGACATAATTGCAATCTTAAAAAGGCTTACAGTAAAAGTTAAAGGGTACATGTAATCAACAGACTAATGATACTGAAGATAACTTTCTTCTTTGAAAAATTTGCCTCAATGAAATTTTAGAATTATGAAATTAAGAATGGGTGCTTCTTTCATGGATAGTAAACTTGTAAATGTGAAAACAATGGGAATTGATGTGACTGTATTATGTCATTTTTGATGGTTATGCAACACTTCTCACATGACAGGAATTGAAATGGCAGCACACATTTACAGAGTTGCCAGAAGCATTCATCTATCCTTATAATCATATTTATATTGGGTATCTATTCCACAACACAACTCACAGTAAGATATCAAAAGCCATCTAGGATAATTTCCAAAAGGCTGTGTACTAGTTGAAAAAATAAGAGTAAAACAGTTAGCTGTCAACTGTAGCCATTCCCATTATGTTACCAGAGTGGGTGGAGCTTTGCAGCATGTCTCATATGTGATCGTGAGACACGTTTTGGGTGTTGTGCGATATTCAATTGCCATTTGAGGAAGCATATCTTCTGAACATTTTACCGAAATTTGCTCAAGAAATTAATCGAAATGCATCTTTTGAGACACTCAAAACCGTTCTGTTTAAAGCTTCTACCAACTATGCAAGAAGCCTACTGACAAACACAAATTGAGCTAACCTTCCACCACCACCAGCATGACCAGATGGATGGCCATAATCCTGCCCGTAGCTACCTCCATAGGCCCCATAATTTGCTCCTGCCCCACCACCGCTGCTCTCATATGGATACCTTCGGTCGTCCCTGTTCGTGTGATGTCGGAAATAAATCAATTACATGACACAAGTCACTGCAGCCATACACAAACACATTTCTGTTTCACAATCTGTACAAAATATATACAAATGGACTGAGGTACTGAGAAAATGTTACAATTGTGACACTTACCAGTCCTGCCTCATCCGCTTAATGGGAGGAGACATGTCATGCCTTCCAGGGGAATAGCGGTCACGGGACCTTCCGTAGTCCCTGCCATATTCCCGACGCGAGGAACCACGTTCCCTGCTACCCCAACTATCACGGCCTCTGTATAAAGAAATGCCAATAATACATAAAAGTTTTATATATGGATCATGCATTATAATCCTTAAATACAGCTGCAGCTCAGCTTTGTAAAGTTCCATAGACAATTGTAGTTAAAAAGCATTAGAAAATTAAAATTTACATACAGTAATGCAGTAAAGTTTTAATGTTCTACTACATGATTTACATATATGGATACAATTTACATAACTGTACAGTCTAAAAATAATCAGCATGCTATCTTCTCACCTGTCGGCCCAGTCATCCCTTCCTCGCCTACTGTCATCTCTGCGGTCTCTGGTGCTGCTGCTGCTCGTATACTCTGACCTCTCTCCACGGAATTTATCACGTCTTCGCCGCTCATACTCATCATCACTGTCTGCCATGGCTTCTTCTGCAAAATCAATGTGCGTGAATATCTAAGACAATTGATGACTATGAAATATTTGAAGGTCAACATGGAAACAGTGTAGTGGTTTGCTGTCAATAGGTATTATTCCTTGCGCAAATTAATTTTTTGAGATCTGATTACCATTTCCTCTGACAATCTTGATTTGATATTTCTGATAGCAGGGGAGGTCATGAAGAATATCAGGGAAATTATGGGGTAAAACAGGATGAAATAGAATGAATGTTGAACAAAAATGCATACAAACACAAGAAAAAAGCTAAATATAAGGCATCTTTTAAAGCCTATGAACCCTAGCCAGAAGCAGAGCCTGTGGTTGTTAGTCAAAACATCTTAACCCAACATCCAACTTAACCTAACAGCGGTATATACTCTCTAGTCAGGGGGATTTGTCCACTGTGTCTTTACTCAACGTGATATAATTGATCCTAATAATTTGCTACATAATCTGCCAAACATTTTTACACTTCACTGATTCTCTATATCATCTGTAATTGCTCTTTACAACATCTGAGACACTTAATGAGCGCTTTTATGAAACTGGGAGGGTCACGTCCAATTCTTCTTTGTTGCCACTGTACTGAATAACCTAGAATCAACGCAACACCGAAAACAAAACATTTCTTACCAGTGCTTCACAAACTCCAGTTGTGAAAACGCACGTGCAGAAAATTTGTATAAAGTATTGCGCAAGTCAATATGAAAACACACACAAACACAAAAAAAAAAAGGAAAGCTTCTCTGTTCTTAACCCTATAGCACCTTTGGAAAGCACTTGAGCATATATTGCCGTAGAAGAACTTTGTCACGGTTAGCATCCTTCCATCATTTCCGAGGCTTCATCACCCAACCCCGCCAGTACCTCCACCTACACGTAGCCCAAGCAGCTCTCTGATAACAGTCCAAAGGCTAGTACACCAGAGGGCGAGATGCAGCTTCCCCGCCCATGGACATAAACAATAAATAAACATAAACAAACAGAGATGGACATAAACAAGGTAAATATTACATCCAGATTTAACATACAAATAAGCAGGTCAGCTATTGACCTACTTCTAAATCCTGCTCCTTCATGCTATCGATTTCCATAAAAAAAACTAGAGATATAATTACTAATATAATATATTCGATAATATAAAGGAGATTAACTAAATGTTTACAATAACAATGGGCGGTTTTACGGAATCAGAAATACACTAATACAGTTTATTTATCAAACTATATTATCCGTTGCATAAATCATACACTTTAATCCATGCTGCAATCTGCGTTCTACTCAACAGAAAATTATCCGCGGCAATTTATTTAATTCCAAACAGATGAAAATAAGACGATATGGTCACGTCCACCTGAGATTTCACTTTCATTATTTCGAACCACACAACCCGCCCAGCCGCCCACCAGAAACAAATATTAAAACACTAAACGTAAATAGGCAAAGGATATACCAAAACGAACCTTTCAGGGTGGCGATTTAGGGTCCTATTAAGAGATATTTGACAGCCCTCTGTCGCGAGTTTCCGGCCGGTCTCAGCGTCTGTCAACAAACATGGCCGACGTCAGAGGCGTGAGCGGCGACTGGCTCGATGGTTCTTTATTGTTTTTTTTTTTGTGTGTGTTTGTTATTTCTGTTTTGGAGGGATTTGTGATAGATGTTGGTATTGTGAGATATTTATTGATGAAATGATTATTAATATTCATGGTGATATTATAAGAGCGTGAGGATTAACTTGGTCGATGGTTCTTTATCAATTCATGACAAGTAATCGCATCGAAGTACATCTTTCAACATACCATGCCATTAGAAAATATCAACTCAGTAATGAATCATTAGTTTTAACTCTATATAGTCTGTATATTTAGTATGCTCTCCCCCCCTTATCTTATCTCCCCAAGATGCCCGACTCAGCACGTGGGAATCCGCCGGTTATCAACGAACACTTCTTCCACTAAGTTTTATCCTCTTTCTCGTGTCTCTTCCAAGAACCATGGCTACCGAAAGGGCGAAGAAAAACGAATCGGATTTGGCCGAGATGTCACTCTCCGACTTCCTCAAGGGTGACGTCTCTCTGCCGGCGATTCGAGAGGACTTCCACTTCCTCGCCAGGCCGGCCGCGCCCTTCGCTTATCGGGAGAGAAGGTCCGTCTGAACTGAAGCTTGTTGCTAGTTTGTTATTGTTATTGGTATTGTTGTTGTTGTTGATTATGTAATTGTTATGATCATTGGCATCATTTTGGTATTGTTATTAATATCATTGTTTTATTGTTTTAGTGATTATTATTATTATGATGATTATCTTTATTTTTATTATTTTTATCATCATCATTATCATTACCATTACCATTATCATTATCATCATCATCATCATCATCATTATCATCATCATCGTCGGCATTATTATAACTAGTAGTAGTATTAATCTCAGCGGAAGTAGTAACAGTAGTTTGTGTCGTTGCCCTGCTTTCGTCGTTTCTATTGTCATTTTTTGCTGTTATTCTTACTTTAATTATTATCAATATTATTGTTTTTCTTATTATTCCTTATGCTTATACCTGTAATTATAACGATTATTATTATTATTAGTGTTATAATCATTATTATTGTTAACGTTATCATTACAGTTGCAATTCTAGATACAGTCATAATCATACTTATAATTAGTTATGATTTTAATGATTATCGCCAATACCATTATAATTATAATCATAATAATTACAAATATCATTATGATAATTATAATGATAATAATAATGATAATGATAATAATAATAATAATAATAATTATTATTATTATTTTTGTTATTAGTATTGTTATCATTATTGTTATTATCGTTATCAATATTATTATTGATATTATCATTATCATTATTATTATCTTTATTATCATCATTATTATGAATCTTATTATTGTTTCTTATTGTTGCAATCAGAATTATTGTTATCAATATCAATAATCTTTATTTTGCCAACATTTATTTAATAGATGTTTGTGTAATTGGTTTAGGAGTAGGATGTGAAGCGTTGCTTTTTTAGATGAAAAATTATGGTTGGGTTGGCCATGGCTTGGAGCAGTGGTTCCCCAAACCCTTTCAGTGACACCCTAAATTCACATAGTCTTTCTGCGGCGCAAATTACGTGATTAAATGGCAAATATTTAATAACCAGATGAATGGGATTAACTTAAAATCTCGATAGATTTATTCTCCGAGGCTTTCATTGGCCACAGTGCAACTAGCTCATAAGTAAATATTCACTATTCTATCACACCGGTGTCTTTATTTTACACCAATGTGGGTTTTACAACTATAATGCACAGATAACTTATCTACAACTGTCAAACATAAAAAAATACCCTTTGATAACAACAATAAAGGGCTATAAAATTTACCTATCCACATCTTATGGTTGCCTGCTGCTGTCATTGTTTACATAGAGATGCTATTGTGACGTCATCTCGTCCTGCTTGCCCGGCTGCGAAGGAGGGGGGGGGGAGATGGATGGCCAACTTGTCCGGACGCGAAAATAGGGTTTCCGGATGGTCTAAACATTTTGTCCCTTTTGTTGGACGATGAGTAGCCTAACGCAGCATTAGAGACTGGTAAATTACGTTTTAGTGGTGAAGTGTGTGTACAAACGTGTAGTTCAGTCAGATCATTCAGCGACAGTGGTGTTCAATTGCTTTCAGGATTATTTCACGATTATTTTGTTCACCGAGTTCCTTCCAAGCAAAAACTCCCTATTTTAAATGCATGTAGTATTATGTA